AAATAGGCCTATAGGCTCATAGGTCTTTTGTCCAAAAAAAACAAACAAAAATTTTTTCACAGCACCCCCTGTTCAAAATTACTTCCAGCGGCCCTGCAAGACACACCGAAAAATGAAAGAGCACAGCTAAGCAAATGAGCTCAGCTGGCTGTATCTTATTTTCTAACTATCTGAAACAGCTAGTTAAGACAGGACCGCTTGAGGTTTCTAGGTTTCTTAATTTTGGAAAATACAATTTGTCTAAGCAGCAAACCTACATTTAAAAACTGATACTATTCGATAAACTGCAGCCGTGCTGTCAAACTGCAGAGCTTCTGCAAAGTCTCGGACAGCACGATGTGAAAGCATGCTGTGTTTGGCAACAGTGTGACGTTGGCTACAGTGATCCTGTCAGTTGGCCGCAGCTTCACTCCACCAAGCCAAGTCTGACTCATCGCTGCAGCATTCCAGCGTCTCATTCGTCTCAGCATCCATTATCTCAATCATTCCACATAAATCTGTATTGACTGCCCCACTGCATACATGACTGCGGTGCTTTTTTTCATTTAAACTGCATTTAAACAGGAAGAATGTCCAAGTTTGTGGAGATCGTAACCATTAATGTCCACAGTGGAATTTTAGAATTTCTATCAGCGTTTAAAGTACTTTCTGTGCAAAGCATAAATCCATTGAAATATTTCAAATTGGTCTAAGTATGAGGTTACAGCGCAGGTTATTCCTGACATCCTTTGTTAAGTTGTTAGTCAATAGGGGGAGCTTTTTTCGCACCTCTAGAACATTAAGTTAGGAATTTCAGATCTTAATATTTTTTTATACTGGACTTCTGTCAATTTAATTCAGTTCAATTCAATAGATTCTCCACAATTCAACTGCTCAGTTAATTTTACAAAAACAATGAGGGAGACCTGCCTCTTACTGGGACCCTGCTTTTAATTAAAATTTTACAGCATGTCATATTTACCATGAATACATGTCCAACAGAAAGAAAAATAATCACTCAGTTGTTTTCTTTTTCATTTTTATTTGTGCAAAGAAAAAAAGGAAATTTACAGCCAGGGTCATTTCTATGCTGCAGCAGTTCACCCGAAACCTTGTAAATGACAACGTATGGTTTTTTTTTAGTACATATGCATTCGGTATAGCTGCATAGATAGCAAAGATTATCGCTGTGAGTCACATGATAGTGTCTTTGTGAGTGCTATCACAGAACAGAATGTGTTCTTTGACAAAACATAAGTGTATTACATTAACACAATGTACATTCTCAAGAATGATATGGTACAAGTTTCTCATTCTTTATATGTGGATAGTTTTTAGCATGACCCTCTATATTTCTGTTAGTGAATATTACATACATTAAATTACAAGTATGAACAGAAGTGAGGTTGTTTGTTCTCTACTGGGGACAAATTACAATTTTATTTGAAGAACCAATTAGATCTAAATTTTAGTTCCTCTGGTCCGAAGTGTACATGATACTGAAGGTTAAGTAACAATTATGGAATGTGCTATTGTTACAGATCACTGTGTCCATTTTTTCTATAACAAATAAAAAAAATCAATCAATAAAAAAGATCAATAGAAAAGGACAACAAAATTTAGTTAGAAATTGCTTGCAGTGAAAGGACAGGGAAGGTGATACATTTAGAAAATCCAAGACAAGAAAACAAACACAAAGCTTATGAATAAAGGTTCAATAGAAGAAACACCCTCTGAATGGTTCTGGAAATAAAAAGGGTGTAAAGTATTGCCTCACAAGGGATGCAACAATAACACTTTTCAATTTCAATAGTCGTCCAGTTTAATTCACTGCACATTCTGCTGGTGCATCCCATTATATCTCAAAATTATTTAAAACTATACATGAAGCACATTCCAAAGGAAATATAACAATGAAATATACAATAAAATACAATTAAACTAACATTTTAACAACTTAAAGAGTCACAGTTCAACAACCCCAAAATTTTTAAACATGAAAACGCTCAAGTACATATATTGTGGGGTGTTCTCAGATCAAAAGTGCCACAGTAGACATTCAAACACCTCTGGATGGCTCCAGTATCAGGTGACAAGTGATCAGTTTATGATCCAGCTCAGTTCCCTCAGCTCTGTGTACAGTGTATATCACTGTGTAGCCATTCCTGCAAGAAGTGCGAGGTAATGCCTACTGTACACTTCACAGAGTCACATATTCATTTTGGGGGCTTCCATGCTAAATCCCAGTGGCTCACAGGTAAACAGGGACGTATAAACCCACTACAACTTAACAGGAATATGAATATGCATGTCAGCCTTTGTGGTGGTTGCACAGCTTTGATGTGTAGCAGCACAGTCACACAGTACAGTGCAATGTGTTTTTAAGCTGCATTTCTTCATGTATATTTCCACAGCAACTATGAATTATAGATTTTGTGGCAAACAAGGATCAAATAAAATGTTTCTAAGCAGTATCGTGTATTACTACTCACAGCTTTTGAATTGACTTTCGCTAAACCCTTACTCAAACAGCGACTGTCCAATCATGGCTTAGCACCTGTAACTCTAACAGGCATGTTGTGCATGGGGTTGTAGTAAGAGAAATACTCGGCATTTAAAGAGTTTGGAGAACAATGTTATTTCTTTAAGTCTTTTAAAACCAGAAACACAAGAGCAAAAGTGTTAGGAACTATTGCATTATTGTTTAACCTGCTCGCTTTTAGCTACATCTCTGTATAACGCATCAGATTTCAAGTATTGGAATTTATGTTTATTATAAGTGGTCCCTGTCAACTTAAATACAAGACAAAATAATGCATTAGAGAGTGTGCTGTCTGCTCTAACATAAATGTAAATTGTTAGCATGTCCAGCTAACTAGCTTAGTACCTAATTAACACTATTAATTGGTAGTTGACCATTAGTTTGTGTGGCTACATTATTAGCTAGCTAGCCGCAACTAATCACAGTTCTCAATACTGTCATCAAAATCGATGCTTCTGTCTACCACTGTCTAACATCAGGGGCCTATTGTTTTAAAAATAATTTGGAGAGGTAAATCATTGTAAAATGCCTATGAGATTCACAGACGTAGCAATAGTAACTGAGGCGACGGGTTTAGCGAAAGGTCAATTTCAGTCTGTTCTTCTTCACTGGGTACCGCACTCTTCCAATGTGGGCAATGTACAAGAAGTGTATAAATGTATTTCTGGCATGTAAGGCTTTGCTGTCAGTGTTAGCATTTCTAATTAAGTCTAATAGGCACTGCTACTGTAGTGGTGAGCTAAGAAGCTAGATTTCGGCCAAAGGTACAAATTACAGTGGGATGAGGAATGCTAACCATGACAAAAAGCTTCTTTTTT